CTCATTCATGTGGGGATATTTTTCAGTTCTATAAAGTTTCATTGCAAGTATGTAGGTTCACCTATCTACCACCTCAGTCAGTACATTGGGCATCTTCATATCCAAATAATGTCTCCTCTTGCTTTTCAACAGTACCCAACCCCATATTCTTTCTAGGTGTTCAAATACCCTTTATTGGTGGGATAGTGGTAACATTGGTTAAGGGTCCAGCTCAATGGCCTCATTTAACATAATAAAGTCCTAGGGAAAGAAGCCATGAACCAAACCAACTGTGCTAAACATTTTCTTCTATGGTGTTACTACATGTAACTTACACAGGTAGCTTTGAAAAGCAAGGTTAGTAGTTTTTCAAAATTAATTTACCAGAGCTACTAACTTATGAAGAAGAAAAAATGTTTGCCAAAGATTATGAAGTTAAACATTGGGAGTGCCTTGACACCACTTGTGTCCTCCAGCTTCATTCTAGTTTGAGAAATGCACAGGGATAGGAATTCTGAGTCCTTGTATTGGTCATAATCCCTTCCTCTGTGCAAGCCACTACTGCTGTTACTGTCATCTTCTGCTCACTGTTGAGTTTAGCAGCTTGTGTCTGTTTTGAAAATCTGCTCATGGGACTGAGGCTCTGCTTCATGAATCTTAAATGATATTGTTAGGACATACACGGTCTCTTGCCTGATAGGGAGCAAAGGACAGCCTGAGAAATGAGGAGGAAGGAGTACTCTAATGAGAGAACTTTCTAGAAATCCTTCCTCGGAAGAAACATTGGGAAAACTAGACTCCTAAGCTGTCCTGTTGTTATTGATTGATTCCTAAGCAGTGAGGTTTCACTTAGTGTCAAGCTTAGAATATAGCAGACTAAGATGGAGATGTCTTCTAGAAAGTGAAATTATTCAATTGAGAAAGAAGGACAATTTGCTAGAGTTCTTGGTTGTGTCAACTCATGTCCTGAGGACAGGTCTTTCAAACTGGAAGATCTATAGGGCAGAGGGCATTATCCCTCTGTCCTCCTATTTAAAATATCACATTCTTTTGAGTCCTTTCAATGAGAGTCAGGAGTCACTGTGTCAGGTCAGGTTTATCAGCCCAACAACACTTGTTTTGAACTCTTTGTTTGGTCTTACCTGACAAGTAAGAATGTCCCTTCCTGCTACTCTGGGGACCAGGAGCCAGGCTTGCCACTTGGATAAATTCAGCCTCACAGAATTAGCTTCAAGAATCAGAGACTGTTCTAAATATCACTAAAGTGTCAGGGACTCAGGGATGCAGAAATGGTATGTTCAACTTCAGCTGGTGGCCATGGATGCAAATCCATGAAGGAGTATAGCTATTTTGTGTGCAATCTTTCCAAACTCTAAAGAAAAGGAGATAATAAAAACAATCCCTTATGGGGTTTGTAGATCCTGGAAAGAGTACATTGGCTCAGTTTCTGAGCTGCTGATAACACACCCAGAAACTAAAACCACAGTGTAAATTCTCAAGAAAGCTACAGGTAGCTGCAGACCTCCCCTCTTTCTTGTTCTCTTTATAGCCCCATAGCAAATGCCCTCACTTGAAGGGCGGGGGCCCAGACAGAAGCCTCAGGACCATGCAGCATAGCAACTGCATCCCTGAGGATACTGTTAGGAAGAGCGATGCCCCTGCACACATTTCATTTTAAAAAACTGACATTAAGTAAAAAAATGTCAAAAAATGCCACTGATTAATACATATATATGTATATATGTCTAGCACCAAACCTATTATTTATTTCTATAGATAGAACTCAACCTACAGTTTGTCTTTAATCAATAAAATGTCCCAAATGATTTCAGAGCTATTTCAGTGGAATGCTAGCCAATAGAACATTCTGGAGGGTTTAAAATGCTATATTTGTACTGCGTAGTCCAGTGGCCACCAGAACTTGAAATGTGGCTACTTCAACTCAGGAATGGACTAACATATTTTACCTAGTGTAAATTTCAATAGTCATACCTTTGGATACTGAAATTATAAAAATTGGAGAGTCTGGTTCCAACGGAGTAAAATTGTAGACATCAGCATTGTCCCCCTCTGGGCAGTGGGGTGAAAGGTAAAATAAAAAAAGAAAGTGGTGGTTGAATCCAAAAGGAAATTAGTTTTCTATGCTTTCTTTTCTCTCCTAAATTTGAGGTGAGTTTTATTGACAAAATGTGGATAGGCTGTCGGTCCCTTTACCTGCCTCCACGTTCCAGCAAACAACTGATTCTGTATTGAGCTCTGAGGCTCTTTGTCCACCTACCATGGGGCTGTTTTCAAAGTTAGCTTCGAATTAAGTTCTGACCCCTCTTTTTCACCTCACAAGTTACTCTTAACTTTCTAGTGATTCTGTGGGTTAAGTTCTGAAAATAGTTTGTTTAAATCTTTCCTACACCATTTCCAAATTGGAATGGGGAAAATTATTTGGGACTTGGGAAGTTAAGTCATAAGTTTTTGAGAGGCATATTTCCTAGTTAGTTCCTAGGATAAGCTTCACAGATATCATCTGATCCCCATTGTCTGGTTATGATTGTGCTTGCTGTTGAGTGGCCTTGTCACACAGCTGGCTCTGTGGCCTCTCTTTACCAAGAAAAGGGAAATGTATATAGTATAGTTTTCATTCCTAACAGGCTTTGGGGTGGTTTTTTTGACATTTCTTTTTATTTAATGTCAGAAATTAGATGTCAATGTTTTTTAAAAGAGACCAGATGTTTTAAGTTCTATACAGCACTGGTGTCTTTCAGGTGCTTGGTAAAGTACTATTGCTTTCTTCTCTGAGGACAGACGTCTGGGGTAAGACTTTCCATTTCCTGACACTGGAAACAGATACTGTTTGGGATTTCCTTTTATAGCTTGTTCAGCTAACGACTCCAGTGACCACTCAATTGTGGTCTTGTAGTAAATCAACATTTCTTTGAAAGACTTGGTGTTATGTAATCTTCAGTGTTTTTACAAAGCCATCTCTCTAACTAAAAAGTGCTCCTGTTGTCTTGAGGATACTGTCATTGCATAGGGTCGCTTTGTGAAAATAAATAGACCGTTTTTCTTTCCTTGTCCCCTCACTTTCTTCTTTTAAATTAAGCCAGGATTGATGAGGGACAAACACTGGCTTCAGACCCTGTCACACCTGGTCAACTAGTGATGAATATACAGAGCACACACGGCCAACTACTGCATCAATCTCTAGTGTCCCTGTGTGAGTGACTTGTTCTAGATGAAATTTTGACTGACTCAAGAGAACACACTAGGTCTGTGGTAGCTTCTGAATCATCAAGTGTGCATTTTAATAAGACATTAAAATCATCCCTGGGAGTCGTGTGTCCATAGTCTGTTGTTTATGGCCAGCTCTCAGGGAAAGGACACTTGACTTATTTTCCCAGAATGCTTTTGGATAAAAATGAGGGACAGTGAGTGGGATGCTAATCGCCCAAGAGAGCCAGTACTTTGCCATTCAGTGTAGAAAACTGACAGGTCTGGACTAAGGTGGCATGCCTCACTCCTGCTCATGAGGCAGAGAAACTGTAACATTGCCCAAGAGTCTTAGAAGTCTGTGTCCTCCTAGCCAATGGAGAGAGAAGGTTGCCCCAGAAGCTAAGGTCACAATGTGTACCAAGTTCTGTAAAGCCCTTTACCTCTTAAAAGAGGCTGATGCCTCTCAAACCTGAGACCAATTAAACTGAGAGTCTTTCCAAGCAACTGGGGAATTCAACAAAATAACTCAGGACTCTCCTGCTTTTGCTCAGGAGGCTGGCCTCATTATAAGAGCAGATCTGTTAGTGCTCTTGCCCTTGTCTTTCATTTCTCAAGTGAGGTGATTCTAATTAAATTAATCTGCATGTCAATCTATTGGTGATCAATCAAAGAGCCTGAGGTTTCCCCTATGCTGCTGGGTGCTTGTGGCTGACAGTGGCTGATAATGGAAGAAGAAATAAGCTAGCGGGCAAAGTTAATTAGTCAACATAATAGGTGGATTAAACAGGACCTGGCTGATGGCTGTTTCCCTGTCAAAGCATGAGTTGGGAGCCAAAGCTGCGATTACAGACAATTATTATATTTGGTTGTAAGAGGTCACATGAATAAACATATCTCTGTGGGGTTCAGTTTTAATCTCCCTCCCCTTTTTAATATAAGGAGATATGTAGGTCAATTCTGTTCATTGTTTTAACCAAAGTTCTCAGAGGCACACCTTTTCCTGGACCCTTGTAGCAAGTGGGACTGAGTCACCCTTAGATGTAGCCTGGGCATCTTGAATTGGCATCGAGCCAGTTCTATGTTTTTTGCTTTTTTCTTCAAAACATATCTAAGACCCCTAATTAGCCAGGGTTCCTTTTCTTTTTTTCTTTTTCTTTTTTTTTTTTTTTTTTGTGGGAGTAGAGGTAATAGGATAATAATAGCTCTGAGGAAAGTTTGGGTCTGGTTCACTAAACTAACATGGGACAAAAGAATAAAATGCCTAAGAAACTTCAATAAGACCCCAGGGAGAGGAAACACAGGCATATCCCAGCTTCCACTCCAACCCTTTTCACTCCCTTATCTTCTGAATCCTGACACGGTAGGGAGAAGATATGTTAAAGATTTAAAAAACTTTTATTTGTATGATCTACTGTGATATCTACTTCAGTGTCTAAACTGAAGGGTAATTTAGGTAAAACACAGCCACCCTTGTGTAAGATATATATATATATATATATATATATATATATATATATATATATGTACTGTGCTAATAAAGACCGCCTTGTAAAAATTATGGTTAACAGGGTACCTTTTGCTGTATAACTATAAACTGTGCAATTTTACTTAAAACAGCATCAAAAGCGTTCCACGCTGAAGACCCACTCATCAATAGTGTGTCTTGTTAGACGTGTACGACATAAGCACCAGTTATTATGTGAAATAGCTGTGCAATTTTCTTCAGCTCCCAGCTGTTATTTATTTAACTTGCGTTTATTTCCCACCATGCTTTTATATGAAAATGTTCATTCATTTCCCTCTTCTGTCCCCAGGTCGTGGTTTCTACCACAGTCAACGTGGATGGCCATGTCCTGGCAGTCTCTGATAACATGTTTGTCCACAATAATTCCAAGCACGGGCGGAGGGCTCGGAGGCTTGACCCCTCGGAAGGTACGCCCTCTTATCTGGAACATGGTAGGCGAATCATTTTCATTGGTTGGCATTGCTACTTGTAACTGTGACTTTGTATGATTTCTTCCCTCTACTATACCACATTTCCTATTGTTATACATTTTGTGTCCCATTGAACACCACTGATGCTTTCATAGGTAAATAGGTAGAAAAAAAAATCCATATAAACCTGCCAGTGCATATTTGTGACTACTTGTTGATTTTGTTTGAAGATCATGTTTAGAGTCAAGGGTAGATATTCATTCTGGGTATGGTACTCAGGCCAAATGTCCTTCCTATGCCTTTAACTCTCTCTGCCAGCAATTCCCTCTTATCATATGACATAGCCTATTTTCTGTAGCTAGACTTTGGTTAGGGAGAAATCACTACCACTGAGGATTGTGAGGAATCAGTGGTACCCATGAGAAGAGTAGAGGAAAGAGACAGAAATCTGTTTCAATAAAAGGGAGTATTACTCAGAGGAAATCTAGGGGAGCTTGGGTGTGCATCTAAACAGCTCACTTGAGGGTCTAGGCTATAAATGCATCTTTTTACCCACCCAAGATCCCACTGCATTCCAAAGCACACAGTACTTTCTCTGATCTCAAATGAAGCTCCACCTGCCCCTCTCAGCTACCATTTCTCCTTAGCTAGGTCAGCAGGATCCTTTTGAGAACATTGCCATACAAGTTATTACCCCAAAGCCTGACTTTTACTGTGGCCCATGAGATATCCATGACATAATTCATAAGGTAGAAAACTCCCTTCCCTGCCAGCATCCCAATTTAATAAACACACCCCTGTCATCATTTTTGCCTGTTTTTTTTCCTACCTGTGCTTGAGGAATGCACAAAGAGTATATTTCATTAATTAGCCGGATGTCATACACTTAGAAGGTATTTTCTCCACACCCAGTTTTATAGTCATTCAAAAGTAAACCATCATCGTTCCAAGGCTGAGGCTTTATGTTTCATTAGTGTGGAGATGGATGGATATTACATTTTGCAGGAGGCCATTTGAAACACCTGCCCATGATTACATCCCCAGCTTCACTTCTGTACTTGCAACTATTCTGATCCTCACTTTACAGTAATGGTGCCTCCTTAATACCCTTGGAGTCACTGAAGACAATGTATGACTATAGATGCTTAGGTGAGAGGAAGAAGGAACATTTGATAAGTAATCAGCAGGCATGGTTTGGAGAGCCTGAGTCAGGGATCAGAATTGTTGCTTTGACTTTGGCTGGTTGATGGCAATAGGAGCCTCCTGATTTGGACATAGGCCTAACAGGCAGCTGGAGATCTGTGTAGTTCATGGCTTCAGAGGAAGCTCGAAACACAGCTCCCATGCCTAGCTTCTAAATCTAGCTCCCACACCCAGCTCCCATTTTTGTCCTTAGGAAGTGAGGAGAGGGCTGGCAGGATGGCTGAGTCAATAAAGCATTTACTCTAGAGAACCTGCTTTCAACTCTCAGAACCCACATTGGCAATCCAAGTCTGATAACATGCTTATGATCACATCTCTGGGGAATCATAGACAGACAGATCTCAGGGACCCACTAGATGACAGCCTAGCCCACTTGGTGAGTTTCAGGCTAACAATGAGACCTTGTCTTAAAATCAAGGGGGATGGCACCAGAGAAACTATACCTAAGATTGTCCTCTGGCCAGCAAACATACACACACACACACACACACACATACACACACACACACGCCTGCAAATAAACTTTCAAAGAAAATGGAATAAGTTCATGACACCATGCTACTCATCCCTGCAACCAAGATCCCAAAATAAAAGCAACCAGCTATGGTGGATGCCTCCAAAGAGGTCACTAACACTGCAAGGCTATGCAGAGAAAGAAGTCTCGAAGCAGGCACTAACAATCCCAAATTCTATTCGTTGAAGGACAGTACTTTCCTCTGCTTTGCTTGTCTGTCTCCAAAGAATCTTATTCAAAACAGGGGTAACATTTCACTGAAGTACAATGACTATCTTTCACTGGAGAGGTCATTACACACTGTGTCCTTCACACTCATGAAACCCTGACTCCACTTCCCCCAGTCGAATGAAAAGGTAGCCATGTTCAGATCCCGAGTAACGACAGTGCAGCAATGCAGAAATCTGATTTTCTACAGAGTGAATTAAGTAGCTGTACATCACCACCCACTCATTTAGACACTTCAAGCACATGCATAAATATCTACTCTGCCAAGGGTGACTATTGAACTCTCTCGTTGGTAATGTGTGGGAGTGGACCTACATGCTAATTCATGTTGGTTTGGGGGATAATATTTCTATCTTTCCATTGAAAAATATTCCTACTTAAAAAGGCCTTGTTTAAGGACTAGCCTTCAATGCATCCTCTGTCTCTCTCCTCCCTCTGTCCTCGCAGCATGTCCTTGTCTCTGTAGAGTCTTCATTATCCTCCATTCTGGGTCTTTTCCCCACCTCATTTACAGGTAGCCTGAATTATTTTGAGCAACACTGCACATCTCTTTTTATATCCTGTCTGTAAGCCACTGGGAGGAAAGTCCCTTTTGTGGGCAATCTTTTTGCATTTCTAGAAAAGGAATCATGGTTTATGTCCATACACAGTCTTCCCTGGATGGTCCATGCACGTGGAGCTCCAGCGGGGCTCAGATTAATGTCTCTGGATTTCAAATATGAGGGATGACAAAGGCAGATTTATTTCCTAGAATCTTGCAGGATCCAAAGAGGCTGGAACTTGGAACACTGTAGCTCATGGTAATTGCCCCCCTCCCTCCCATTTTCCTCTCCATTCATAAATACTAAGATTTTCTGTGGCTGGATATTTATAGGTACATTTATTGAGCTTTCTGCTTTAAGCAATGGCTTTATGGAAGATGTACAGTTGTGGAGAGAGGCAGCCTCACACGCAACTGCTCTCGGGATTCTAATTTCTACAATAGTATAGGTTTGGCACCAAGGGGCCTGAATAGTGGCCACTGTCAAACACTGGTATGTATGTGTGCACCTCATCTTCCAGTCCAGCCACTTAGGCAAATTTGTGGGGACTGTGCATGGGAGTGCTTGAAAGGGCTTCAGGAATGCTGCTATTATCACTGTGGTTCATCTCTAGTTTCAGGTTCTATTTACTTGAATTTAAGGCCAATTGCGGCATCAGTTTCTCTCTTTCTTTCCCCTGTGGCAAGATGCTGTGTCCTCGCAGTGCTAGAGTGCAGGGACCCTGTCAGCTTGCATGCGCTAACACTTTATTATCTAATGATCTAATATGCAACAAGGCAGAGTGCCTGTGCTCATCATCCTGACACAGAATGCCGGGAGAAGTGACTAAATTACTTTATGTACCATTAGCGCTAGCAGCTATGGTGAACTCACCGGCAGCATTTATGCAAATGCCTGTGAATACACTCTAGTGGCTTTGTCAGGGAGCTGTCTGACAAGCAGTTTAAATGCTCATTTTTTAGGGTATATATGTATATGTATATATACATATATATAAATAAAATTTGGACATGCATATGTTTTTTTCTCCCTTTTGTGTCCCTTTCCTTTTGGAAACTCTTTGACATCTTTCATACTATGTGGCAACTGAGGAAAGCAGAGAAGATTAGCAAACTCCCATCTCATGGTCTTTCCCATGAGTCAGGTGATCTCTGCTGGTAGTGTTCTTTACATACTGGGCTTAAAAACAAACAAAAACAACAACAAAAACCCCAGCTCTTATGAGCTTGTACAGCTTCTCTATGTATTTCTAAGGAAAGAAAAACAGTGATGATATTAATTGAGTTTTTTTTTTTTATAAAAGAACTATTCAATAGTCATGAGTTCTGACCCAAGGTTCTACGTTGTTTTGTGGCTCAAATAGAAATTGAAAACAAAAACAAAAATCAAACGTACTTTTTAAAAATGGAAAGTGATGAATATTTAGCTTTTGTGGTCACTGGATATGAGTGAATTAAATTTCCCTTCAAAGCAGTTACAGAGAGATGAAATGTGAACATGCCAGGATCCCAAAATTAAAGAAATCAAAATAAGAGTGGGCTTTGGTTAAACTACACTTTGGAGGATAAAGAACGGTGACAGGCTCACTGGATCATGTCCCCTGTTGTAATTACAGCTTTATAGGGACTAAAAGTGGATCTGTGCCACCACCAGTCAGCTCTGACCTTTTGATCCCCTCTCCCTGCCAATATGGTGTTAGTCTTGCTCTTTAGCATGTATCCTTCTTTTTTTTTTTCTTTTTTTTTTAATTTCTTTTTTTTTTTTGAACATGAAATGCTTTTTTATAGCATGTTTTAAAAGGGGAGGGGGTAAGAGGGTCCAGGTGGTGGAAAAGTACAAAATCTTCTTGGCCTGTGCCTTGAAACATGTCATGGTCTATATGGTACACTGCCTTGAATTATGATCTACCTGCAGTTCTTCAGAAGATAAGCATGTATCCTTCTTAAAGCCTCTAGCTTCAGGCTGGACAGTTTTTGCTTCTGTTGCTTGCCCCAGAGTATTGAGTCTCGCTGTGTCCCCTCTGCCCAGCTGTATTTAAATGAGTTGTGGACATGAGGAGAAAGGTGATTTGAGTTCAGAAAATTACCCCAGATTGAGGAAAAACCTGTGTAATAGAGTCCTGGGGGTATGTAGGAGAATCCATGTACCCTGAAACGAATCTTGAAAGATCCAGCTATCTGGCTGGAGATCTGGAGTCAGACAGTTCTAACTGGCTTTAAGTAATTGTGTACCTTTGGGTAGGTCTCTTTGCTTATGTGAATTTCAGTTGCTTATATGCTTACTTGGTTGGGCCATTCTAGACTCCTTTGGAACTCTGAACTTCAGCCATCGACATTGGCCTTTCCGTGTGGGGGTGGGTGTTGAAGAATCCAGTTCTCTAGCTCTCTAGCCAATGAATAAGATATCAGTAAAGTGGATTTCAAACCATTTACTTGTCCTAAACATCTATTGGATGTCACTTACTATGTAGAGTAGCATAAGGTAGACATGGCCCTTGTCTTGATGGAGTTTATTATGTAAATGGGAAAGAGACA